ATTTCCATACAAGTTATTTCCTAAAGACTTACTAACTAGAAAACAGATCCTTGCAACAGCCAAATGCCAGACAATACTGACTGCTCCTGAGGACATCTGCTTTAACTGAGTTCAAATGTCATATTTATGTTATAAGCATAATGACAATCCTAATGCAAGTGGGAAGCCATTTTTAAACAGATAGAAACCCTGAATGTACCTTTGGTGGTCAATGTTTAGATAAACTGAAAGGTTTTTTTCAGCTGATATCAGACATCATGGATTATCGTGACATTCTCTTGGCATTCTACAGATCTGAGTTCTCCTGTTATTCTAAAAGTAACCAGTAAAGGTATAACCTTGGTCTAATCATTTATTCTCTCCAGATTCCAGTTTCATCATTTAAAAAAAAAAAAAAAGTGTGTGTGGAAGGGAGAGCTGAATGAAACTCCCAGACTCCTAAAATTAAATACTTTACTGCTTTCAATTATGAATTGTTCACAGGTGCATCTTCATCTTTCAGTCTTCAGACAATTTCTTTCCACTAACCATTTTGCAGGATGGCCATAAGGTGCTGACCCTCTGAGTCAATAAACTGCAACCTATAAAGCTGAAACATCAGTGAAAGAAGGAACATGAACTCACCATCCCTTTTCAGTCTCTATCCAGAAGAACAAAGGTATCATTGAGAGAAAGTAGTGAAATTTCATGCCTTAAGAGTACCTTTACTGACAACTCTCAAAGGACTTAATGGACAACACAAAACTAAATGCTTATTCTAACAATTATACGATTATCTTGCTTCTTAACTTTATTTTAGTAATATTGCAAAAATGTCCAATGGAAGAGAGAATCATTCAGTCTGAGAAGTATCTTACACACAAAATGCAACTTAAAAACTCAATCTGTTTGAATATTGCTTAACATCTTAAACTTATCAAAGGACCTTAGAGCTGGGAGGCTTCTTAAAAGGTCTTGTCTACAATCCATTTTACAAAAAGGAATGCTGAGGACTAGAAAGTTAACTTAATTGTCCAATAACACACAACTAGCAATTGCAGAGTTGGGACCTGAGCCAGAATCTCTTGACTTTGAGCCTAAGGCTCATACCTTCATGGAAAATATCTCTTCCTAGCAAACTTTTGATTTAGAAACTTCCATTAATGAGAGCAATATAAATTTGTTTTAGCATTATCAGTACATTTATTCCTGAAATCTGGACCCCAGAAACATTTACAAGATATTTTCCCAGTTGCCTGCACAACACACACTTTTTTTTGGTTTAAGAAGTCAATCTGAGAAGTTTTTCTCAAGTATCTGAGTCACTGCCACAACAAATATTTGCAAGATTAGATACAGTTTATATAAATAGTTAAATAATTTTCATGGTAACAGCCGATTCTGTTAGACTATTGTTTTTTCCTATATTCTGTAATGTTATTTAATCTCTTGTCAGAGACATCAACTATCTCATCCATTGATTCCATTGGATTGTACAAAACCGGCAGAATCAGAAAGACACAGACACTCCTAACTGCCCATGAATATACTTAAATAACTCAAATATTTGAAATTGCAAAGAGAAAAAAAGCCTTTTAAACAAAACTAAAATTGGTAAAAACATATTTTAAACAAAGTAGCATCTGTAGCTATAAAAAAAATTTTAATGAATCTTGGGGAAAATATCTGTCACACACAGTCTCCACCAAGTGGTTGCCTAATAATCACATCCAAAGGGAAAAACAAGCCCAATGTTACTCTACAAGGTGAGAGCTCAAAGTTAAAGAAACAATATTAACCAGAAAATATTATAGACAAAAACTAACACTTCTTTTCATACTGAAAGCTTCACTTAACACAAAAACCAAGGAGGCATACAACGGAATGGGAACAAATGATTAAGAGAAATTTTATATGAATGTCCTTTAAAAAGTGAATTCTAGAATATAAAAGCCCTTACAAAGAACTCAAAGAAGATGTTGTTGTCCACATACTGGTACTCAAAGAAAACATAGCCCGACTTCTTAAGGTGCACAGCGTAGATCAAGGATACCGTGCAGTCATCACGATTGGACTCTATGTAATTTCCACGAGGGACCCAGGAAGAGCTGTGGAAACAAAACCATTTCATGTCAGCATTCAGAAACCTCTTTTTTCACAAGTTCTGTAACTGAGATTTAAAAGCGGCTCCATCGACAAAGCACAGCAGAGGAGTCTGAAGCTCATGTGGAACTCACAGGCCAACACCATGGCTGGAAAAGGGTTCACTTCTTGTGGCACATGACTTCCTAAATGGTGGTATGGTTAAACAATCAAGTTGCTATGTAACTGCTATTTTTCACCAAAAATTTGATTGCTAAACAGATGATCACTAATTCCAGCTGGCTTAGATGGAGTTATTCTCTCAAACAATATCTAAAGTTTTATTTACAAACATATACTTGGCAGGGGAATGCAGGGGTTCCTTGATTGTGAGAGAAGATATCGTCCTAGAAAAAGCCAATTTAAAGTGAACCTAAATAAAATATAGATCATAGTGTCATAATACATAGTAGAGCTAAAAGTCTGATTGGAAATTTTATCTAAAAAATAAAATGAAATATTAAGAAAATACACTAGTGAACAAAAGTTGGGTTGTAAATCTAACCATAAGCTAATTCTTAATCAATAATGAGTCACGTGCCAACTTTTGGGCCAAAAAAAATTTCCAACCAAGCCCTATGGCAGCACAACTTATTATACTTCTCTTCAAATTTAACTTTCTATCTGGATGATAAGTGAGATTTTGGCAAATTATTTTCTTTTTACTAACAGAAAAAAAAAAATTTGAATGAAAGACTGAGACTTCCACATCCCATCATGACTCACTAATTGGTATTGGATTTGCCCTTTTCTTTAACAATCTAGTAAACTAAACAAAACACGTGAGCCATGTTCAGGCATTGACAATAGGCAGTGAAGGACTGAGATTCCTGACAGCAGGAAAACACATGAGACACAGCCCAAATTGACCCTGACCTCATTCTTCAGGACACTTTCCAGACCATGGCACTGGGAGATAGCACCCAAGCAGAGCACAGCGATCTCACTGAGCCAAGCAGCAGGGATGAATGTTTGGGGCAGCTGAAACAACTGGAATTTTCAGGCCTGAGATGCAGAGAAAACAGGGGCTCCAGAAGTCCATAGGGAGTTTCTCTGAAGGTTAGGGCTTGGGTCTGGAGTGGGCAGGCCTACCAGCGAACAGCCATTGCAAAGCTAAGACATAATCAGAGAGGTCACTTTTATGGGAGTTGCTAGAGCTCCAGGCCAGCCAGAAAGGAGAAAACTTAATAACCCCATTGGACATTCATCTGAGATCCCAGAATTGCCACACTTCAGGAATAAGGGCCATACCCTAGAGTAGGTATCAGCAAACTTGTTCACAAAGGGCCGGAGAGTCAATAATTTTGGCTTTATGAATCATCTGGTCTCTCCTGCAATGCTTAACTAGGCCATTGTAGTTCAAAAGCAGCCATAGACAATATATAAATAAATGAGTACAGCTGTGTTCCAATATAACTTTACTTACAGAAACCGAGGGAGGGCCCACAGGCCACAGTGTGCCCAACTCTTGCCCTAGAGTAAAGACCATGACCTAGAACTAAGTGTGAAACCAATATCGAAACACCCTAAAAAAAAATTTTAAAACCAGACCTGACGAGATCAAGGCATTCTTCTCATAAATAAACTGCCTTCCAGAACAAAATCCAACACCTTTTAAATGAAAGAAAAAAATAATCCACATTCCCTACATCTTAACATTCATGATGCCCCAGATACAATAAAAATTTACTAGGAATGCAAAGAAGTGGGAAAGTATGACCCTTAATTGAGAAAAAAGATAATCAGAAGAAATAGGGGCTTCCCTCGTGGTACAGTGGTTAAGAATCCGCCTGTCAATGCAGGGGACACGGGTTCGAGCCCTGGTCCGGGAAGATCCCACGTGCCACGGAGCAACGAAGCCTGTGCGCCACAACTACTGAGCCTGCACTCTAGAGCCTGTGAGCCACAACTACTGAACCCACGTGCCACAACTACTGAACTCCGCGAGCCTAGAGCCTGTGCTCCACAACAAGAGAAGCCACGGCAATGCCTGTGCACCAGAATGAAGAGTAGCCCCCGCTCATCGCAACTAGAGAAAGCCCATGCGCAGCAACAAAGACCCAATGCAGCCAAAAATAAAAATAAATAAATAAATTTATTTTTAAAAATAAAACAAAAGAAACAGACAAGTATTTAAGACAGCTCTTCAAAATATAATCAACAACATCAAATAAAAGATAAATACAGTGAGAGAAGGGATGAGGAATCTCAACTATTTTAAGGGAAATAAGAACCATTCGTAAAACTAAATGTAAATTCTAGAACTGAAAATTACAATACATGAAATTGAAAATTCAACAGATGACCCTAAGATCAAGTTTGAGACTGCAAAAGAAATAGTCAATGACACAGCAATAGAAACTATGTAATCTGAAGTCTAAGAGAAAAAAATTGGGAAAAAAATAGAGGCTCAGTGACTTTCGGACAACACCAAGTGGCCTAACATACACGTAATTGGAATCATAGAAGGAAAAGAGGGAGAGAAAGGGGCAGAAAAACGTTACTGGTGAAATAGTGGTTAACATAATTCTCAAATTTGGTGACAATATCAACCTACAAATTCAAGAAGCTCAGTGAACTTCAAGCAGAGTAAATACAAAGAAAACCACACCATCACAGTCAAACTGTTGAACAGCAAAGATATAGAGAACATTTTATAAGTAGTCAGGGAAGTAAAAACACATTACATAGAAGGGAACTAACCATACAAAATACAGCTAATTTTTTTTTATCACAAACAAGGGAGAGATTCAGAGGTAATGGAACATCTTTAAAGCATGGAAAGGGAAAAGTAAAAGCTCAGAGTCATACGTCCAACAAAATATTCTTCAAAACTGATGCTAAAATAAAGACATTTTTAGGTTAAACAAAAAAAAGCTGAGAGAATTTGTGAGCAGCAGACCTGCATTACAAGAAATGATAAAGAAAATTTTACAGGATGAAAAAAATAATACTGGATAAACATGACAACCTATATACAGGAGGAAAGAGCACCAATAATGGTAAATATGTAGATAAGCATATTTTTATCTCTTAAGTTTTTTAAAAAACAATTGATTTTTTAAAATTAATTTATTTATTTTTGGCTGTGTTGGGTCTTCGTTGCTGCATTAGGGCTTTCTCTAGTTGTGGCGAGCAGGGGCTATTCTTCATTGCGGTGCGCGGGCTTCTCATTGCGGTGGCTTTCCTTGTTGTGGAGCACGGGCTCTAGGCACACAGGCTTCAGTGGTTGTCGCTCGCGGGCTCTAAGCAGAGGCTCAGTAGTTGTGGCGCACAGGCTTAGTTGCTCCGCGGTATGTGGGATCTTCCCAGACCAGGGCTCGAACCCGTGTCCCCTGCACTGGCAGGCAGATTCTTAACCACTGCACCACTAGGGAAGTCCCATCAATTGATTCTTTTTAAAACATTTCATTGTATTATTGGGTTTATAATGTGTTCCTAAATATAATATATAATCATACCTCAAAGATGAGGGTGTAAAGGGAACTACACAGTGTAAAACTTTACACATTACATAAAACTTACATATTATATAAAAGTACAATAATAATGCTAATAACACTTTAAGAATAGATATTGTAATTTGTGGCCTTTGTAAGATATCTGAAGATATAAAAACACTAACCATAACAGAAAACAGTGATAAACTGTACTTTTTCAAATGTTAAACTTTTGTTTATCACAGGACACCATTGAGAAAATGAAAAGGCAAAAGCTACAGACAGAAGGAAATATTACACACACATACATGTATTTCTGCATGCATATGTGTATATGTTAAATATTATGTAAATATATTCATGACATGATCTCATGTCTAGCATACACAAAGAACTCCTATAGCTCAATAATAAAGTGACCCCCCAAAAATAGCAAATGGGTAAAACATTTTGACACTTAACACACACACACACACACACACACACACAAAACATATGGACAATGGACAGGCATGAATGTGCTCAACACCTTCATAAAGAAGGGAAATGCAAATAAAAACCACAAGGAGATACTATTTCTCATACACACACTTAGAAAGACTAAAATAAAACAAGACCTGACAATACAAATGTTGGTAAATATGTACAACAACTAGAATTCAAATGCACTGCTGGACTCTAATGCTACAACCATTTTGAAAAGTTCTTAGTCAGTTTCTTATAAAGGTCAATGAACATCTTTCCATATGACCCAAGCAACTAAAAAGAAGTAAAAAGAATACAATATTGGGGGCTTCCCTGGTGGTGCAGTGGTTGAGAGTCTGCCTGCTAGTGCAGGGCACACAGGTTCGAGCGTCTGGGAAGATCCCACATGCCGTGGAGCAACTAGGCCCGTGAGCCACAACTACTGAGCCTGCGCATCTGGAGCCTGTGCTCCGCAACAAGAGAGGCCGCGATAGTGAGAGGCCCGTGCACCGCGATGAAGAGTGGCCCCCGCTTGCCACAACTAGAGAAAGCCCTCGCACAGAAATGAAGACCCAACACAGCCAAAAATAAATAAATTAATTAATTTTTTTAAAAAAAGAATACAATATTGGGTGGACGGAAAAAAGGAAGAAAGGAAAAAAGGAGGGAGGGAGGAAGGGAGATAAGCGAAAAAGTAACAGGCTGAAATCTACACTGAGACAGTTATGCTCAATACACTGAAAAATTTCTGCTTATCATTCAATCTCTTTAATGAATAAACAATTCCAAATTTATTGGAATTAGAAAAAGAAGCCACACAATATCTCCTGCCCACCAAGACAAAGATGTGAGATCTCATAGTATCCTACTACTACCTTCCCCTAAGGAACACTTTTATTTAAAAAAATTGAATTAAATTATACACACACACGTTTCCCCCGTTACACAAAAGTACAGTGTTCCTATGAAGCCTTTCGTAAGCTGAAATGGTGCAAAGCAAAGAAGCAATTACCTTACGACACATCTTACTAATGGATTTACAAAATAAATCAAGATAAAGCATAGATCCCAGGCACAGTTCGAAGTTACGGTGGCTTGATGCTGAGATGCTGCATGTAGCTCCAGGAGAGAGCTTGGTGGTGCCCCTCTCGCTGCCCATGGTGCACACTGCCACTATGACAGCCTCCCTTGCTGCAAAACCAATGCTGAACAGTATTTTTGCTTTTTGCCCTCTTTTTTTTTTTTGTAAAAGCGAAAATCCTCTTCAGATTTCTTTTGGTTAGCAAAAACAGGTACTAATATAGGTTTTTCATAAAAGCGAAATGATATAAAGCAATCTTGGGAAAAGCAGGGGATGTTTGTGTGTGTGTGTGTGTATGTACATACATAAATATACATCTTGAACTGCCTGGGTCCAATTATACGCAGATTATTTTCACTAAAGACACATTACAGTACTACTTGATCCATGGTTGGCTGAATCCGCCAGATGCCGAAGGGTGGATACAAAAAGCCAACTGTTAAGTTATAAGTGGATTTTCAACTCAAAGGAGGATCGGCACCCATAACTCCCACATCGTTCATGGGTCAACAGTGTATGCATGTGTGTACATATACACATACGTACGTGTATATATATGCACATATACATTTTATACATAGTTAGAATTATTAGATATAACAATTCTGTTAATGCTATCTAACGTCACAACCCTATGTGATGAAATGACTGTTATCAGAAGAGTAAAAATATCAACTGGCAGACAGAGAGACAGCTATATAAAGCAAGAGGGAATGGAGGGAAGGTAGGAACGAGGGAGGAGAAAACACATCTGTTATCACAGCTAAATAATTCCCCAGCATCTTTAGCTCAGAGTAAAAATACTGAGTCGTGAGAAACCATCCTTGTCAGAAGGTAGCCCGAGGCCTAAAGTTAAATTCTCCTAAACATGGCCACGTGAAAGGGGAATGTTACACAGTCAATACAAGAAAACAGGAAGGGTAACAGCCCAAAGATAAACATTTTGTGTTTTTTCAAAACAGTTTATCATTCCTCCAATGTTGTCACAGGCAAACCTAATAATCTCCTATTAAAAAGGTGGAAATTAAGTAAAGGTGATTTCCACTTTAGGTGTTTAACCCACCCTGTAACCGGAGACACTCAAGTGTCAAAATGAAGATTATACATTTTTCCTCTCAGGGGAAAAGAAAAAACATTGAAGTTATTCATTAAAATTACAGAAGGGTTTGTAGAAACACCACTGACTTTAATATAGTTATAAATGTATTATTAGAAAATTAACTTGTTTTCTTAATAGCTTTATTGAATTTTTTGCGTACAGTATCTATTATGTCCTAAGAGCAACCATTTTAACCTCATGAAAGTTCAGCTACATTATTCATAAGGACTGTTAAAAAAAACTGTGACTACTTGCAATTAGTTTATCTATAATCCCAATCACTACCAAGATTATCCTCAACATCTTTCTGGAAAAGAGCAACCACACCCTTCTCAAGGCTCCTTTGGATTCTTACTTGTTACAGCCATCTGGCCTGCTGTCAGAAGGGCCGACCACAGTGTCCATGAATGTTGCAACGTTGGAAAATCCTGCCGGCAATTCATCCCATTCATCAAATTTGATGCCACTGCCCAAGGAGTAGGTGCCTTCACCACACTTACTGCATACCTGATTCTTCATTTCTAGATACTCCCCAGAAGCACAGGAGAAAGCTGGAAGGCAGAAGAATGTATAATCCATTAGTCATCACACCCCCCCATCAATTTCATCCCCTTCACACTGTCACCAGCATTATTTTTATAAGGCTCTGATCAGGTCACACCCTAATTAAAGCTTTCCAAAGTCTCCCTTATCGCTACATGCACTTCAGTCTGACCCCGACCTATTTTACCAGGCTCATCCCTTGACCCATTCTCTTCCAACCATAACAAAATTCTTAACACTCCCAGAATATTTCATCCTCTTTCTCGCCGCTGTGGTCTTTCTTCGGAGATGCTGACCAACGCACCTGCTCACCTGGAAAACTCCCGTTCCTAAGTCAAAAAACGACCCTCTTCAGAACAGAAGGTGGGGCCTTACCCCACCAGGCAGTCAACTGTGCCTCTCTCTGTGCTCCTACAATACTCTTCTCATAATACCCCCCTTAAAGATAGACAGACGGATGGATGGATAGATAGATACCACTTATCAATCGATGTGAGACTTCAAGCTTCCAGAAAGCAGGTATCATTGTTATTTTTGAATTCCTAATTGTACCGGGCAAATACTGAGTGCAAATAAAAGGCTGAACCAGTGAGTGATATAAACTTAACGGGGATAATGAGAGGGTAGTGCTTCACATGCAATAGCTAAACAAGTATCTCCACCATGAATCCATGTTTTCACTATTCACGACTCCCACTGAGTCATTTCCACAACCTCCTTCTTTTTACTGATGATGTCAAGTTCTGTGTTAATGCTCAGAACTAGAGCCAGAAAACGGGAGCCACAGGCAATACGCAGGACAGCTGACACAGTTATAGAAAAGATGGCAATTCTGCCGCTAAGTTTTTATTCATTCAGCAAATGCAAATCTATGTCCCCCAAGAGTGTGGCTCTGTGCTCAGAGCAGTATTAGTCACTCAAACGTAGCAAAGAGCTTTCTAATCCTTTAATCAGGATATTAAAGAAACAAGAACAAAATAAGACCTCTAAATTATCCAAAGAAGAAAAACAAATCTCCCAGCAGAGAGCGAAGCAGCAAAACTTCACATTTAGGTAAACTCCCTTTTAGAATACATTTGGAAATGTAACAAGAAATAAAACAAGCTAATTTTTAAAAAACGAATTAAAGAAATAGAGTTAAAACCCACACTCATCTACTTACTTATCCACGGAATAAATGTTTTTCTTCAGAAAAGCTTAAGATGCTGTACAATGCATTTCTAACCCTCAAATCAACACCCCTAAATTAGCAGAACATCAGAAAATAAGGAAAGGTCAGGCAAAAAGTATTGCATGCTGGCTATAAGGTCAAAACTATCTTGGGGTCAAGTTGTACCACTCCCTAAATCTGTGACCTTGAGTGAGATACCTCACCTCTCCGGGCCTCAGTTTCTATCTCAGAAAAAATAAGATGATAATCATAGTGCTGCCTGACAGAGGTACAACGACAAACTAAAAAACACTATAAAGTGGTTAGCACAGTGCCCTGCCTTTAATAAATGCTCACAACACGTGATTATGATCACTACAACATACCAAGAAAGAAACAGTTATAGAAAAAAATTTCTTTTACTTTTTATGCTTTATAGCTCTTCTAGAAAACTGATAAACAATACCATAAAACAAGAGCCCACATTACACTAAATCAAGGGTCAGCAAACTAGAGCTCACAGGCCAAATCCGGCCTGCTACCTGCTTTTGTAAATAAAGTTTTATTGAAACACAGTCATAACCGTTCATATACATATTGTCTATAGCTACTTGCACACCACAGTGGCAGAGGTGAATAGCTGTGAGAGAGACTGCACTGCCTGCCAAACCGAAAATATTTACTTTCTGATAAAACAAAGTTATCTTTGAAGACAGTTTAGTCTAGTGTCCAAAACTGAACTCTTAACTTAAATAGTGAGAAGTAACTTTTTATGATAAGTTGTTAAAAGGGACCCTAGACTCTAAAAAGGAGATGATTGTGTTTGTGTTATTTCAGAGAGTGCCCACTGCCCTTTAAAGTCATTAAGAATATCGCCAACTCTTTCGGAGGTATTTCTCTAAGGTCAGAAGGAAAACTGAGAGATAACGTTAACAGTAAATGTATTGAGTATAACACAGCCAATTCTTTTTACTCACAGTAGTTATACAAAGTTATCATGAAAACTAAACTGGCAAATAATGAACCATTGCTCCTGGGGAAAATACAGGCTTAGGCTCCTGTGATTCTCTAGTCACAATATCTTCATCAACAAGTCACAGTATCATCTTCATCAATATCTTGTTTTACGGGTTTTTCAGCCGGAAAACATCTTATTTAAAATATATTGTTGATTCATCAACATTAAACTTACGGCCAACAGCACTAATACTTATACTTAAACTAAGCTTATTTAACACGTGAATTTTCTCCAAAAGGCAAGGGACAGCCTTCTTGCACTCAGGATCACTAGCCAGCACTTCAGCACTATTTTAAACAGTAAGATCACCAATAAAAAGCATAAGAATGCAAAAAACATGGCATTAAATAGACTGTGCAAACGACACTGTTGGCAGTATGCGAGATGAAATAAGGAGGCAGCCTGTCACCGTCTTCAACCTCAGCTGGGACCACATGGTCGGGTGACTCATTTTTACTGCTCTGTACATGTCTGCAAATGGCAGTGAAAGTATTACATGGACTGATTTGAGAGTTACAAATAAATTTTTTAAGGTAGGTAAATTTGCAAATATGGAATCCATGAATAATCAGGATTGATGTGTTTTAATAGATCTGTGAAGGAGGAAGATACTATGCCCATTCGCCAGAAGCAGAAATTGACACACAGTACATTTAAATAACCCTATTAGAAAATTATCCAATTAACAAGTGGCAAACATGATATTCAAATTTAGCTCTCTGATTCCAAAACTCATGTGCCAAGAAAATTCAATTCAAGCAATAATTATTATAATCAATGCAAAAAGGGCAAGTAATGTCAAATTAATTCATTATTATATTTCACATCTTTCTTCATTTGCTGTCTTGAACTGTTAAAAAATATTCATGTGCATTATAAAGCAATAACAATTCCCTACCCCCAGGTATCTTATGAAATTTTTAATATATTATAGCTGAAACACACACATTTATGAAATATTTTAGCAAGTTACTAACTTCTATATGCCTCAATGTCCACACCTATAAAAGGAAAATAACAGTAATATCTATCTCCAAGAGTTTTGGGAGTCAATGAGATATTCCTTATAAAATATTTAGCAGTGTGCCTGACATAAAGCACATAATAATTGTTAGCTGCAATTATTTTTATTTTTTATTTTTTTAAGGAGCTTTTATTTTATTATTTTTAAATTAATTAATTAATTTTTGGCTGTGTTGGGTCTTCGTTTCTGTGTGAGGGCTTTCTCTAGTTGTGGCAAGTGGGGACCACTCTTCATCGCGGTGCGTGGGCCTCTCAGTATCGCGGCCTCTCTTGTTGCGGAGCACAGGCTCCAGACGCGCAGGCTCAGTAGTTGTGGCTCACGGGCTTAGTTGCTCCGCGGCATGTGGGATCTTCCCAGACCAGGGCTCGAACCCGTGTCCCCTGCATTGGCAGGCGGATTCTTAACCCCAGCGCCACCAGGGAAGCCCCAGCTGCAATTATTAATAATATAATTCAGGAGTCTGGGACAATCAGAATTCTGCCACTGGACTGATGATTTTACACATCTTTAGAATAATTACATGGTCAAAGTTAGGTGAATAGGTATAGGGCCTTTAGTGATACAGAGGAACTAAAGAGTCTACAGCTTTTTGTATTTTAATTATTGCTTCCTCCTCAATCTTTTTTTCTACCCTGGAAGCCAGCTCTAGAGCCACATGTCAAAGGAAAGGAAGAGCCACACGTTCTTATTAAACACAATTTTCTCCATGAGATGATGTCAACACGGCCCTATCGACCTTCTTCAGGCAGGCATCAGTGAGGACCAGCTTTTCCTTTTCTTATACCTTCTGTCCTACCCACATCTACTTTCTACTTGGACTCTGCTTTCTTGGCCTTTGGTTTTTAGTTGAATTAGAAGGGGTTTTATAATATTAAGGACTATACTCTTCATTTGAATTCGCTTACAGTACAACATAAGACTTTTTAAAATTAAAATATAGTTGATTTACAACGTTTCGTTAGTGTCTGGTGTACAGCAAAGTGACTCAGTTATACGTATATACACATATTCTTTTTCATATTCTTTTCCATTATGGTTTATTATAGGATACTGAATATAGTTCCCTGTGCTATACAGTAGGACCTTGCTGGTTATCTATTTCATATATAGTAGTTTGTATCTGCTAATCCCAAACTCCTAATTAATTCCTCCCTCACCCCCTTTTGCCTTTGGTAACCATAAATTTGTTTTCTATGTCTGTGAGTCTGTTTCTGTTTTATAAATAAGTTCATTTGTGTCATATTTTAGATTCCATATGTAAGTGATATGATATGTATGGGATCTGTCTTTCTCTCTGACTTATTTCACTTAGTATGAAAATCTCTAGGTCCATCCATGCAGCTGCAAATGGCATTATTTCATGCTTTTTTTATGGCTGAGTAATGTTCCATTGTATACTTGGACCACATCGTCTTTATCCATTCATCTGTCCATGTACATTTAGGTGGCTCCCATGTCTTGGCTACCGTAAGTACAGCTGCAGTGAACATTGGGGTGCATGTATCTTTTTGAATTATAGTTTTCTCCAGATGTATGCCCAGAACTGGGACTGCTGGATCATATGGCAACTCTATTTTCAGTTTAAGGAACCTCCATACTGTTCTCCATATTGGCTGTACCAATTTACATTCCCACCAACAGTGTAGGAGGCTTCTCTTTTCCCCACACCCTCTCTAGCATTTGTTATGTGTAGACTTTTTAATGATGGCCATTCTGACTGGTGTGAGGTGATACCTCATTGCAGCTTTGATTTGCATTTCTCTAACAATTAGCCATGTTGAACATCTTCTCATGTGCCTAGTGGCCACCTGTATGT